GTCAAGCAAAATATAATGGTTGGTGTGCTATGTGTTTCTGACTATTGACCTAGACCTACAGTAATTCTAAGGTTCAATTCCACCCATCATTCATGCCATCTATTTGTTTGGAAGGCAACACTTTTTTATACCACTGTTTCGCGAACTCATTTTTTTTTAAAGATCGTCAGAGGAGGGCTGAAAAAAATTAAAATAAAACTTTGTTTTCTTATTTAGAAAATAAAAAAACATCCAGATGGAGGAGAAAATGAAAATAACATTTTATTGGTGAATGTAAAGAGTTTGGGATGGTTAAATGCTTTAAATTTATATAATTATGAAGCAATATACATCTTATTTTTGTAGTTTTCAAGGTAGCAGCATGCCTAATAAAATAAAAATAAAAATAAACTTTTTTCTGAAAATTGTTTTATTTGAAATCATCATTATTGGCGGGCGGTGGGTTTGCTAAACAACATATAAAGAAAGTCTCGCCTTAAAGCCAAAAATTATTTGTTTTGCCCAAGCACAATTTATTTATTTATTTATTTTTTATTTAACTTTCGTTATACTGGATGGCACGCTCAATGCAAAGGCACTGGTTTTCGTTGTGGTCCAGTTACATAACATAAAATACAAAAATTGAAAAATTGAAAAGAAAAATTTAGGGAAATTAAACAAAGGACTTAATTACAAAAATAGATGACTTAATTACAAAAATAGAGGACTTAATTACAAAAATAGAGGAGAGACCAATTAATTCAGAGCATTTTAAAATATGTATTGGTTGATGTGCAGTGTGTTTTTGACTATTGGCATCTACTGTACAGGTGTACAGTAATTCTAGGTTTTATTGCCATTGACCTTCACTCACACCACCAATTTTGGTTGGTAAAAAGTAAAGTACAGGGCTAAAATTCATAATCATCAAATTGATTAAAGTTTGAAAAGGGGGTTCTTGAAACACCAATGCTTATTGTCTTCTTTGACAAAAATATAAAAAAACACTAGAGTCATGATGCATTTTGATTGATTAAATTGTAACCACAGTGTTAGAATTTACATTGAATTATAAATTTTTAAAGCTTTAAAAAGATTATTCAAGTGTTTTAGTCTCCAAAATATGTTTTTGAAAAAAAAAATCCAACCCTCACTGTATTTTTGAGATTTCTCATTGGTCAGGCTTTTAAGTTTGTTTTTTTTTGTCTAAACTATGTGACCATGAATTTAATGATTGCACCTCAATCACCAATGTACCACTTCAACATTGAACATTAAATTTAAAAGCTGTAAAGTAATATAAATTTGAAGGGTTTTACCGTTTTGTTGCACTTAATACTGAAGGCTATTGTTTGTGATGTGGGGGAAATTAAAAACACATTTAATCATATCGCAGGGTAGTCCTACCGACAAATCATGCGATTTTTAAATCATTATGATGTGTGGTGTTGAATGATGGGAGATGAGCTCCAGGCATATTCTTAACTAACCAATGCTACAGTACGTGTTCTGCCTATGCTAATTGTATTACACGTGCATTGTAAATTGATTGATTGATTGATCAATTGCATGACTGATTGATACTATGATCGTTGAATGTATGGCTGAATACACACTATAGAAGCTTAGCATGTTGGTTGCCTTCCAGCCTTTCTTTAAAGTAAATAAGCAGTGGAAAAATGAAACTCTGTAGCTTTTTTTATCATCCACTGTTAATAACTTCAGTTGCTTAAAATTCCCTATTCTTTTGTAATATTATTAAAGTAATTATTTTATAATAACTTTTATAGTCTCATTAGTATTTACTATACTATTTTACTTTTACTATAACAATTACAACTTGCAAACAGGAACACTTCTGACTTATTTACTTGTGGGTTGGATATGGAGATATTTCAGCATTTTTACTCTTATAGTTACAATCAGATGTGGTACATAATCAGGGGCCAATTTGGGGGGGGGGCACTGGGCTGGCCCCCATCTCCCTCACCTTTTGGAAAGTTAAAAAAAAAAAAAAAAAAAAAAAAAACAGAAAAGAAGAAAAAGAAATCAGAGGTTATTTTTAGGCGTCCAGAAAACAAAAATGTCATGGGTGCATGCCCCAGACCCCCTAGGGTAGTGTTATCTCGATCGGCCCCCCCAATTTGGACAGGATCCGCCACTGATAATGACCCTGTGCACAAGAAACACACTTGATACACTGTAAAAAAAAGCAGTGATGATCTCTCTGTTTATTGACCAATTCACTTTTTAGTCATAGTTCTGCATTGAGCGTAAACATTTAAATGTGTGTAATATTAAGGAAATTGCTGTTTTTGTTTGTCGGTGATTTATTCCCTATTATTAGTACTACAGTCCAATCCTCTTCCATTGTTCCTATAACCGAACACATGTCACAGATATTCTCAGTCATTATTCCCCTTTTTGAAACCTTTCCAAGAAGCAAATGGTACGTTTAAATGAACCATCAAGACCCATTTAATCTGAGAACCTAATAAATATTTTACTTTTTACCCATTCTGTGATAATGATATCCGCCGGAAGATTAATAACATTGTTTTAACATTACAACGCATGCATGTAGCCTTCAAGTTGTCATAGACACTTAACCATCTTCCTAAAAACCTGTTTGTAGCTGTAAATAGTCATACCAATTAAATCATAATCTATTTTTTTTGTAAGTAGAGGTTGCTACAGTATCAATTGGAAAGGTTAAGAGGCTCTGCTCAGTATGATGGGAATTATGTATTGAACTATTATTGGTTTAGAAGTATGAAAGAGGTAAATCCTTTATGAGCCACTAGGGCCCATAGGGCTGGAGCTTATCACCAGTTTTTGTAGCCTGAAGTGGATGAGAGTGTAATACTTGATCCCCCTGGGATGGATGCTGGTCCACCGCAGGTTATCCTCCAGCAATTTGCTGCTACCCATTGATATGGCTGGTTAGACTGAAGCAATGTAGTGAACTGCCTTTCTCTGGGACACAAGCGAAGTGCACTGCGAAGGATTGAAACCCCAACTTTGAGGTTGGGAAACCAAACCATTTCCACTGCGCCAAATTGCTTCCAAAGTATGAAAGAATCCCCAAGTTATCTCTGTTGTAAATGCTTTACTTTTAAATTTTTCCTAATTAAAAATAATGCTTAATTGTAGTCAAAAATTAAATTGAACAAAAATATCATATGTTTGTAACACTAGGTACATTAAACCTGTGACATGCACTTCCAGGCCAGGGGAACTGTTTAAACTCATTGATTTCATGGTCTTCCATTATCATGTGGGGGAATTACCTTGCTCACTATACTTACAAATGCATCTGGTTAATATTAAAAAGTATGGAGATCATTTCTGGATGAGCTCACTAATAATGAAGTTTGACCTATTGTTTCAATGACCCTAACATTTCAACCACTGAACAATCAAATTTATGTTGCAGTTCATGCCTCATAGAGCAGACTATCGTCAATAATTATTCATTAAAACTGTGCATTAATGATTTTTACCGCAAATATTACTTGATTTAATGTTCTAATTAATGTTATAATACAATTAAAAATAGTTATAAAGAATATTATTGGACCCTAATATTTTATATTTTAATGTTAATATTACAGTAAAATGTCATTGATGTTTGTGCGTGTTTTGTGATTCTTACAATGTTGTTGTTCATTATCATGTATTGTAAGATACAGCATTGACAAATTACTGTAATGTGTGTGGAATAGCCATAATCAACTTCCTCTTTTACCGTCTTTTAAAATATTTGGAAAAATATTTGTATGATGTTATCTGGATAAAGTCTCCAATTGCTAGTACGTGACCTCTCTAATGTTGAAACTAAGATGTTTGTAACTCCTACCAGACTTTCATGAACACTAGAGGTTAGTTTTTCTTGCTCTAGCAAGACTTGCATCTATACCTTGTTTAGCGAACCCACCGTCGACCAAAAATGATGATTTTTAATTCAATTTTTTGCTAATTAGCATATCCGCCACCACGAAAAAATGCAAATGGATGTTTTTGGCAAAAATTTTGCTAAATAAGAAAACAATTTTTTTTCCACCCTCCTCTGACTATCTTTAAATAATTAAGTTCAAACAAGGTATAAAAAAGTTTTGCCTTTAAAAAAGAGCTGGCCTGAAGCCAAATGCAGACTGTCCAGGAGTCGTCCGGAGTTACCATCCTATTCTGAAAGTTTGAGGCTAACATTAATGATACCGTACATTTAAAATATTTTGTAGCAGATAATTACTAATCTCTACAGCCACCATATCCTGTGTTATCATTTCTTGATATTATCGGTTTTAGTTTACCTGTGGGAATTGAAGTATTTGTACTCAAATTACAAAACTAACCCAACTTCACTACCAAAGAATTTTTATAAGATAAACATGAATTGATGATGTAATCCTAATCTATCATAAAAAAATACAAGGTTGTGAGGAGGCTAGGTAACAGGATAGGGTACCTCAGGATATACCTCCTCAGGACTGGGGCCCTCATGGTGTTTACTTTAGGATAATTGTACTTACAATAATTGTATTTACAAGTCACCAGCTTTCATTTATTTATTTATTTTTATTTTTTATTTATATATATTTTTTTTTTACTGCAGTTTAATATTTAAATATTTTTAAAAATTATTATCTTGACTCAGGATGCAGAGACATTAAATCTTGTTTTTAGTTGATAATTTACCAAAAGTAGAATTTTTACCAACCCAGCCTCTCTGGCCAAACATGAAAATTTCAGACAGGTTTGAGCAGCAATGCTAGACTATCCTTAATGTGTGGTCTTATGTCCAGCTGCCTATTTTTTATATGAATTATAATATATAGACTTGTGTTGCATCAGGAGAATATCAGTGAGGTTTTGCCCTACCTGACATCAAAACATCACTTCTATGATCTTCCTGATGCAAACACATATCTAAGTAGCATTGCAATGTAATTGAGTAGAGTGATAACAAAATTAGCTCTTATTTTTACCAAATTTAAGTTTCTAAAAATAAATTATCTTACCTTTGTGAACTGTTGACAACTATTGCCATATATTTATCCACAATCACAAGAAAAACTGTGTATATTACACAGCATACCAATATTTGAAGTAATAGATGTTTAGCGTTTTATTTTGTTTCCCTATTTCCTGCCATTTCACCAGGTAGCATATATTTTGATTGGTCCATTTGGCACCACCTATTCTGATTGGCTATTAAACTTTTTATGCTCATGCATATGGATGAAGACTATTCCATTTTAAAAGCTGAGACATTTTACCAGTATTGACAAAATTTTATGCAAACTAAAATATATAAAAAAAAGTAATGGTTTAGTTAAGGTAATAAATAATCTCAATATTTCAATTGTTTACATTGGATAAATTAATTATTAGTTTTCAAGTTTATAAAATAGTTTATTTATTTAAGCAAAGGTGTAGAATTATTTACTACTCCTTTAGTGTAATCAATTTTATTTTAGTTTCAAAAGTAACAAACTACTGACCATATCAGAATAGGCCCTAGAATATGGATTTGTCTCAAAGACATAGTTGTGCCCCACAAACGCATGTGTTTAAGTATGTTTACCAGTACATTTTGTGAGATCTTTAGTAATAGCAACAATACCTACTGGCTGGGTTTTGCAGAGCCATCCACACTGTAGACTTGTGCCTTATTCCTGGGATGGCCAAGACTCATCTGGTGCTGGACAGGAGGGTACATTGTCACAGATCCCTGGTCAGCGGCAAGGGCATATCCTCATACTGCAGTTTGGGTGCTGGCTTGGAATTCTTTTTCCTTGTTTTTTTCCAATTACATCTGTACACCTGTTTTCGCGCATAGAGACCCTCATATTTTGCTCGGTATAAATGCAAAACCTTTAACTTTAACCTTGAATAACTTGATCCAGTAAAATGTGAAAATAAAAACTCGTAATTGAATTTTCAGAGGTTTCCACATTTCACTATATTTAACATAATCTTAAAATTTATTTTGTCAAAAAAGTACTTTTTAAAATTAAGATTGAGTATTTCTTTTTTTCAAACCAAAAAAATACCAGATGAATGTTTACAATCACTTTTTAAAATTGTTATTAAACTATCATAGCGTTTGTTTCGCTCCACTTTGCTTTTTGTAAATAGACTTGAATAATTATGAGTTTTCTGATTCTCCAAATTAACTTCAAGTGAACAATTTTGAAAATTAGCAAAGAACTGTTCAGATTAAAGAAAACTGTATTTTATTGTAAATGCAATCATTATTATATTAATCGTAATATTCATGTGTCACTGTCATCTTAAAATAAGTTGTACTTTTCGGAACTAATATTAATTTTTTTACAATACAAACAAATGAAAAAAAAAAAAGTGCTACCAAAATTGAAAAATGGATTTTCAATTTAATAGATGATTGGTCAGAGTTATGTTTAAACACACAATAATATCACCTGTTTTGGCATACAAATCACATCATTTAGCTACTCAGAGAAATAAGATTGATAATCATCAAGCGAAGGTGCATGTACAATCCCTACAGAAGATAAAGGAAATCTAAAAAACATGACAATGTTAAATTTGTTTCCCCAGCGACAGATAGCAAGGTTAAAAGAGAGATTTTGTAATCCCACAAGCCTGTGAAATAACTGCAATAAAAAAAGTGTGCACCAAACTATCTTCCTCTTTTATGACTACCCTGGATGATAGTATCTATTATTGCAACCCTGGATAATATATGATATCTTGTAGATATTGTAAGTTGTGATTTGTCTACAAATTGCTCTTGAGAGTATTTTATGCACATTAGCATTTCAATATGATTGAAATTGACGTAGTGAGATAAAATCTCAAGAAACCAACTGTGTCTGGCAGGATTTAAGAATGACTAACTTTGTACAATTTATTTATTGATTGATTGATTATTACTGGGGTACAATAAATTGACAAAAAGAGAAGCAAATTCAACTATTCACCACTACACTACACATAACAAATAGCAAAAATATGACATAAAAATAAATGTATTTTTCAATTAAGCTTGTATTAGCTTTGTATAATCAGCATGATTAAAAAAAAATAAGTTCATTTGTACATTTATGACAAAGTTGTTTACATTTCTGAACACTACAGAGCAATAGGATTTCCTGAACTGAGTGTATTTCATAGAGGGCTCCCTTTTCAGAATGTTTCCTACTTAAAGAGCTGGCCCTCAGTTCTGTCCAATATTGTGTCTTTCTGTTCGTTATTACGTTAATAACAATTACAAATTTGTGTAAAAGATAGGCATATAATGATATCATGAACATTTAGGCATTTATCTCAGATGAATATCAATCATCGATTGACAACCGACAAACTTATTTATTTCTTATTTAATTGTATTACTTAATATGCTTCGTTATATATTTGTTCAAACATGTTTTTTTGTTCTATATCAATTTAAACATTTTCTTTTCATTGTTTCTTATAATATTTTAATATTTAATAATTTTTTTTTGTTTTATAGTACTGTATAGCATAATAAATGTTTTGAATTGGAAGACAATTTTTTTAACTGCAAGCTCCTACAATATTATTGACATTTTTTCTTGCAGGTAATACCACAGCTGATTGCACGTATAGATACCCCACGACAATTGGTAGGGAGGCTAATCCATGACCTGCTCACCGACATTGGCAAACAGCATCCTCAGGTAGGATTGATTGGCTTCTTGTCAGAGGCAAAAACCTATTATGAAACCTTTAAATTTAATGGCCCTCAGTCTTTCTTTACAGGATTCCACACGAAGTGCTGTCACAATGCTCTCTGGAAGTTTGTTCCACTCAGAGGTCACTCAGTTGCTAAACAAATTTTTTTTCAATTTCAGTTCTATTATAGTTGCCAAAAAAATTTCATAGAATGACCCTTGAGCACCTTTCTTTGAGGTTGGGACAAACATAAGTCAGGGGATGTTTTAAATTTATGTAAAATCTTATAGAATATATATATACTTTTTCCTGTCCACAAAGGAATGGAAAGTAATATCTGAACATAATGTGGTACAGTGATGGTGCATTCTTTTTAATAGATTTTTATTTCTAACAGAGATACTGTAAACCTTTGAATTGAAGCCCCTTCTTTAGTTTTTCAAAATCAGCCTTGAAAAGAAGCCCATGGGCTTCTTTTCAAGATTGCATAGGCTTCTTTTCAAGATAGTACAATACATACACTGTACATGAATTTCAGAAAACAAAATAAATACAAGCTTGGTTTATACAGTAGTTCAGGTGACTTTTAATGCCAGTTAAATACACTCCATGATACAGATTGACGTTACAGTGGCCCCTGTTATCAGACCGTATGTCAATAAATTTTGCTGTGTGAAAGAATGTTTTTGTCATTGTGTTTTGGTCACTTTTCACTGTGTTTTGAGTATTTTGAGAAAACATTAGGTTTGAATTACTATCCGATAATTCATATCACTAATATGTAACATAAAGATAGTAATAATTTCACAGGTTACAAAATACATGTGAATGTGTTTTATTTCAGGCCTTGATCTACCCTTTGACCGTGGCCTCAAAATCTACAAGCCAAGCCCGACACTCAGCAGCTGATAAGATACTAAAGAACATGTGTGAACATAGTAGCACATTAGTCCACCAGGCTGTTATGGTAATATTGTATTTTTGATTGTAGTTGTACAAATAGCGCCCTCACACATCATACTCTGCTTCATCACAGGCTCTGCCTGTTTGGTTTCTCAAATGTATAAATACTTCAAATACTCCCCACTTGGGTGCAGTGTTCAGTCTGTACATAAAGGAATATTCAACATAACTCCTCATCTTCTCTCCTAAATGCACGTAATAGAATGTGCAGAGGTTCTCATGTAATCATAATAGTATAAGAGTTTATCTTTTACCTAAGAATGCAAGATGCTAAAAGAAAATAAAAGCTGTATAGCAAGTGAGCATGAATATACCAAACTAAAGACTAACAATTTTGCAATATAATAATGGTATAGCAACATTGAAATTCAGTTTTAAAAATGAGCTATTCTGCTCTTAAAAAATCTCAATAGTTTTTGCCTACACACAGTATCAAATTCTGTTCCCCTCAGCTGTGTTGAGTGAGTCTTTAATAATAGTAAATACTTCAACTCCTTTCTACTAACTAACTTGGTTAGTTTTGCTGCTTTTCTAGCTTATCAACCCAAAGGGCATATCTTTTATATTGTATTCTCTTGTGGTGGATCAGACGGTCATTTTCTGATGCTTAAATTTATATCAACAGGTGAGTGAAGAGCTGATTCGAGTGGCGATTCTTTGGCATGAGCTATGGCACGAGGGACTGGAGGAAGCTTCGCGCCTCTACTTCGGTGAGCGTAGCGTAAAGGGAATGTTCAGTGTCCTGGAACCGTTACATGCGATGATTGAAAGGGGGCCACAGACAATGAAAGAAACATCTTTTAACCAAGTAAGTTCACCATCTCAGTCCACCATTGACCCCCACCCCTGTTAGCTTTGTTCCAAAATACTTTTAATAACTACAATTTTTACAGTATATATTTAATAGACGTGTGTATGAATTGAGACAGACGCGACAGCTCTCAGGGAGATGTAATTCATTGTGAAGTCAAGCATGTTGTTGCCTTCCAAGCATCACATTGCACTGTTTACAAAGTAGAGTTTCTCAATACAGGTTTTAATTAAAGATCCCTCCAATAGACATTCCCAGAGTGTCAATCAAGCTAAAAAACTGACCAATCAGAACAGGGCCTAGAAAAAAACGCTCTTATTTATGATTGTTCTTACTACAATTCACCGTATGAAATATCAGTGATCTTACAGATTAATGTAAACCTAAAACAGGATATTAAGCATTCATAATCAATGCTGAAGTGTAAAATGAATTCAATGTATTATTTTTTTATTAAATTCTGTGTAATATTAAATGACAGAAGGAAATGTATGAGAATCTCAAAGGCGAGGAAGGAAGTATGCATGAACAGTTATAATTTATTTATATTTTGCATGCCCCTTTGAACAAGGCTACCCCTTGAGCCATACAAAAACTGGGGCTAAATAAAGGAAAATAGTTGATCAAAACAACTGACAGTCTTTTTATATGAGCAATGCTAACATGCAAAACAGATATGTTTATAGTGAAAGTTTTCCAAGGTTGTGAACAGGCTTATAAAATATAATTAGTTAGCAAGTATAGTGTAAAATACCAAAAAAGGTTTTGTAAATTTAAATTTTTTGTAGAAGGAAAAATTGATTAACATAATGAAAATGATTTATTATTTCATAAAACCATTTTTAATGAGCTTGAATTGTTTTTTATTTTATTAGGATGTTTCATATTTATGTGTTCAATTTTTTCTATTTTTAGGCCTACGGTCGTGATCTTATGGAAGCCCAAGATTGGTGTCGAAAGTATACACGTTCGAGGAATGTCAAAGACTTGACGCAGGCATGGGATCTGTACTACCATGTGTTCCGAAGAATTTCAAAACAGCTTCCACAGGTTTGACTTTGTTGTTTACAGGATGCAGGACAAAACAACCTTAAATACAAGGATCAGTTTTGTAAAATCATACGTAACATTTCAATAGCAAAATTTTCATACGTTGAAATGAATTTTAACAGAAATGTCCACTTCCTCAGAAAATATACAATTGACATTTAGCTATAGAAGTTTGCCCACATCAAATGCTACATTGACATATTGGGCTGAATCTATTACATTTATAGATTATACTTACTGCCCAGTTTAATGTCCGTAGTTCCCCATCAAGGAGGGTTGGACACATTCATATCATTAAAAAACTCAACATTTATTTATTTATTTATTTAATAAATAAATTTAAAAATGTTGAGTTTTTTTAATGTCATTCGAGATGTTTTCATACCACTTTTTTTTGATCGACCCCTTGGCATCCGCCCTCCAATGTCACAGCTTAGGATCTCCTTAGGTTATGTTATACATATTTGTTATATCATGAGTTTTGAGGTGAAGGGTAACTTTCCCCCAAAAGTTCCTTCCTGGAAGGCATCAGTGGAGCATAACATAAACTCAGATTGATTACCATCCATCTGTTTACATTGTTCTTGAAGATGACACAACTTGAGCTTCAGTATGTATCTCCAAAACTGCTGATGTGTCGTCACTTAGAACTTGCTGTACCAGGTACCTACGACCCCAATCAACCCATTATTCAAATTGAACGAGTCCAGTCATCACTCCAGGTCATCACATCTAAACAGCGTCCTCGAAAACTCAGCATATTTGGTAATTCCGACAAATTATCTCGTTTATTTTTAAGTGTAATTAAGAGCATGAATGATTTAAAGAAGCCCTCCCTAAGTGATTTGATTTTAGTTCCAAATGATATTTTGGTTTTAACCTTTTGTGTTGTGTCTTATCAGGGAGCAATGGTATGGAGTACATGTTCCTACTGAAAGGCCATGAGGACCTAAGGCAAGATGAGAGAGTAATGCAGCTCTTTGGTTTAGTTAACACACTACTTGCAAACAACCCTGATACATTCAGAAGGCATCTTGAGTAAGTCAGCTTGTCTTCTTACTCCTTAATCTCATTAATTATATGAAGCATAGTCACAAGTACAGTACTTGCGGGAAAAAAAATTCAAAGGAGTACATTAGCTTGATATTAGGCTTCAGTTAGTTGAGCACCCAAACAGTAATCTGTGGGTTTTTTATTCAAATCCTAATGGGGACAAACAATAAAAACAACCACCCTGGTAAGAGGAATCTAAAAGTAAAAATATATCTACTATTTAATAGCAAAAATACTATGTTTTTTCTTTATGAAAATGTAAGAGCCTTACTAAATTTTTGTGTAACAGGGGTAAATTACTTCAGATACAGTAAGTAAACTCTGTTATAAATTACCTTTTATAAAGACAGCTTCACTTAGTCTTACAAATTTGATATTATTTTATTTAAATATAATCAGTGCACCACTGTGAATTTGTAATATTCTGATTGTCTTACAGTATTCAACGATACTCCATCATTCCATTGTCAACAAATTCCGGTTTAATTGGATGGGTCCCACATTGTGATACGCTACACGCTCTCATTAGGGATTACCGGGACAAGAAAAAAATACTGCTGAACATTGAGCATAGGATAATGCTGAGGGTAAGTCAGAGATGGTACATACCAACGGGTGCACTGGACCATGATAGATTACAGGTTCTCGGTTCAAATCCAGTCATGACTCCATTGTCAAATTTATATCAATATTATATATTTTCACTTTGATCGTAAATTATTTATGATGGTCCTATGTGATAATGAATTATAGAAACAGTTTTAGTTTGGCTACGTTTATTGTGTGGTCATTTAACAGAATAATCTGATCGACACTAATTCTCGCTTAAGGTTGAACGTAACTATCGTATCACATGTGAGAGTGTGATGGACGTGCTGAGAGCACACAAGGACAGTATTATGGCCGTGCTAGAAGCGTTTGTTTATGATCCGTTACTTAATTGGAGACTAATGGACTGTAAGTTGTACACTAAAGCTGGGCACTCACTGTGTCGTGCGGCGGTCATACGAATCCAACTCCGTTCTCTGTGATCGATAGACGACGCGACGCTGTCTGCTGATTGTCAGTGGCAATCTGAACGGATTGTCATTAAAACAATCCATTGTGCGCACATCGTTGCGTTGCGTTGCTGATAGCCGTCGTGTGCAGTGAGGGCCCGGCTTAATGCCCTGTCCACACTATCAGGTTTTCTTTGATGAAAAACTGTTTTATGCCCATATATAGTCATGATATGCCCATATATGGTCATGATGTGCCTATATATGGTGATGATGTGCCCGTATATATAGTCATGATGTGCCCATATTTAGTCATGATGTGTCTATTGGTTATGATGCTATGACCAGCATGTCATGTTTTTCTCAAGTAAAATTTGATAGTTTGGACAGGGCTTAATAGCTTCCTAGAACATAAAATGTGGATCAACAAATGTTTAGTTCTGTTGTTCAATTAGAAACAAGTTTGTACATTATTGATTGTGTATGCAGTGAACAAGGAAAAAACACTTTTGATCAGATCTATGTAGAGAATGAAAAAATATCTACCATTAGAAGTTTTTTTTTTCAAAATGTGTAAATAGTGGGTTAACTAAATAGATGGAGTAACTATTGGTATTTTTTTACCTTTTTCATCATAGCTACACCTAAAGGAAAACGATCAAAATCACGAACTGATGCTTATTCCAGCAGTCAAGCAGGTAATACATAGTACAGTGTACATTTATTCCCTCATACAGTGTCCATCATATATGTTAAACCTATTATTTTATGCAGTGTTGTTTTTTGTTTTTTGGTATATCCAACTGCCATTACATTTTGTATGTACCACAGACTATTTGGTAATTGTCTTTTTTTTTCTTTCAATTTAATGGACCTTTCCAGACTCTCATTCCACATTCAGGTCCCACAGACACACAAGTTTACATACATTTCGTCGCTCACATCATGAACTAACACAATCAAATTAGATTGTGTTAGTTCGTGAAATCAAGAACGCGCGTCAAAATATGCGCTGTTGTTGTTAAGGACTTTTTGTGCGATACTAAAATTGCTTGACAACCAATACGCGCTCGTTTTGACGCGCTACTGTGATTTCACGAACTAACACAATCTACTTTGATTGTGTTAGTTCGTGATGTGAGCGACGATTTATGCTTTCATTTTTGTGGGACCTTAACAACCATATCCAAAAGATCCATTGGGTACCTGCTGTACCAGCAAATTTTGGGTACATATATTTTTATCACTTAGGCAGCTAGTCCTAATCATATCATTAGGATTTAAGTTCTCACTTTTAAATTTGAATTTTAAACAGATTTTTAAAAATTATGTTTGTAGAAATATCGGATGAACTGCATGGGGAGACACCATCACAGAAGAAGCCTACACACCCAGCCTCATCTGTACAATCGTATGGTGAGTTGGTTATATTCACACATTACTCTTTGACCTATACATCTTTATTATTATTATTATTATTATTGTTATTATTATTATTGATAATATTTCTAATTTTTAGCCATGTATGAGATGCATTTATTAATTATCATTATTGACTATTATTATTATTATTATTTTGTTACTAGTATTAATATATTATTTAAAAAATATTACTATTATTCTTTATTATAAATAATTATTATGGTCATCATTATCATCATCAGTATTGTTAGTATTAAAAATATTAAAGGTTTCCTTCTAATTAAAGACCACTGTTGGAACCAGAGTTTTCATGGTCTTTAGCAGCCCTTTAATTGAAAAGAGAACTTGTATTAGTTTCCTTATATATCAAATAAAAATCTGTGTATTCTAGATGGCGAGAGCGGGATCCAACCTGAAGCCCTTAACAAGAAAGCTGTTGCCATTATCAACAGGGTCAGGAAGAAGCTAACAGGTTAGACTCAATAATTTCATATTTAAGTGTCTAATTTAAGTAATTATTTATTCAAAATGGATAACGTTTTTAAAAATTTTTTTGTAATCTATTTTCCCCTCTGTGGAGGGCCTAGCTGTCACCCCTATCAGTGCTACTGAGTATAGTTCTAAAGGCCTTATTGGAAGATCAATGTCTTTAATCATTGGCCTGTCACTTGTTTTTATCTTTGAGGAAACACCCTTTTTATGTTGGTCTTTCCCCCACTCATGAATGCCGGTGGATACCTGAATGATCTGTGTTTATTTGTTTGCATAGGTCGAGATTTTTCTGCTGAAACTACGCTTGATGTGAAGAAGCAAGTGGAGATGTTGATAGAGCAAGCAACATCCCACGAGAACTTATGTCAATGCTACATTGGATGGTAAATATTATTTTTTGATACGACAATGGCTAAAATAACCCATAGCATTGGGGTAACCCCTTTTCATCCGAAAGATGCAATGGAGGCTTTAAAGTACACACAAGCCAGGTGGTTACACGGACCTCCTTATCCGAGAAGACTGTGGCGTAGTTCAGACTGGATAAAACTTGGACTAGGAGCACCTGAAACCAGCACCAATGTTAAAGCTGCAGTTAGCAGTGCTCCTGCCTTACCGCTCAGCCACTCGACTCACCCAAATTTTAATTTGATATTCTTTTTGCATGATGGTATTGTTATGGGAGAGGGGTGTGTGAGAATTTTATTACACAAATCCTAATTCACTGTGTATATTGCTATGGTTGATTGGATTCCTTAGCAATTCTAACATAAGGAATTCAATGATTTTTTTTTTATCATTGTATACTGTATAAACATTTAACTTGAAATTGAAATTGAGCTTGCATGTGTACATTTTTTATATATATATTTTTTTTCATTGTAGGTGTCCATTTTGGTGATGAATTGCAAATAGAAAATGAAGAACAAACTACATGCAAATGAATTAACAGCTGGACATAACAGATAAAAATGGGATCAGGTGTTGAAAAATATGTAGTACCAATAACTGTTGGTTCACTAAAACATTGTGTTTAACTTTTAATGTACAGTCATCACACAAACCTGAACCGATACTTGAGGACACAGATGAAAGTGACATTCAAACTTAACAATTGACCAATCAGAACAGGGCCAAGAATGCTTCTAATGATATTTGGAAATGGGTGCTATTTTGCACTTTGTGGGATGTGATAATATCTCACCCTCTATAAGAAATCAATATAAATTATAGAATAGTGCTCAGAAATGATAGATATTTATCTGAAAGTTTACCATCCTATCAACAAATATTTTGTTTTATTTCTGAAAGTATTGCTGTAATTTAATTTTTTTATTATTATTCTTATAATATTACATTATTGATAGTATTGCTAATTGTTAGCCTTTTATGAGATAATTCAATAATTAATTATGATCATTTTTATTATAATTAATTATGATAAAAGTATATAACATTTGTAAAATTTCCTTACTGTTAAGTTTTCTTCATGCTGTCATGTTTTATGTGTGATATGACATGATGCCATATAGGGGCAACTCACAGATATCTGTCACATGAAAATTGATAGAGTTGACAAAGCATAAGAGTACCTATGTGTCCCTACTTAAGGGACATCCTAAAAGTAATAATTCAGGAGTAAGATGATGATTCTGATGATTGAGTAAATTTGTTAGACCATTTAATCTTCAATGTATTTGAGTTGGACACAAAAATTTTGTTTGGTTGGATGTCTGATTGATACAGCAATACACTACAGTTCTATCCAGACTATTGCATTTTACATGATAATTATATGTGATTTGGCCATAATATATGGGTATGATATGACATCATCGTGGCCAAATATAGATGTGATGACATCATGCCCATATATGGGTAATTTTCGCAAATTTGTCTTAAAATTTGAAAGTATGGATTGAGCTTCATAATCTGATAAATCGCATTCTGTCGAAAGTGCGGATAAAATTTAATATACAAACAAATTGTAGGTCTTGAAACATGATGCATGTATAATGAAGTATATATGCATTGTTGACCTCTGATATACAGGCAAGGTATTTGATCTACAGTACAATTACAAGTACAGTTCGCCTTCAATTCAAGACTATTTATTTGGTTCTTTGAAAAGTGGTCTCGAATTTAGAGGGTGCACTGTTAGTATTGCAAGTCTGACACTGTGTCCAATTGCTTGCATCCTCAGAGTATAAATGGGCAAGACAACCGGAGATCTGTTGTTAAATAGCATAATTACATTGATTTTACTGTGTATAATGTAATTGAACCAAATAGAGAATAAGAGATTATAAAAGCTAAATCTTGTATTGCTGAGTGTCCAATCATTATGTTTTACACACATGCTCAACTAAGACTTGAACATGCTGTCCAAAAAATTTTAGGTGCATGATGCAACACATTTGAACTAGCCCAAGTCAAATACAGAATGGCATAGAACTTTCCTTTCCAACTGTACTAAGCACTATTTGCTAAAATTGTGGACTGTCGTGTTTAGTGATTTCAGCCTCAACAGGGAATGCTATGAATGAGGCTGCTTGCACTCGATTTTGTCAACCAGATGATGAAATCCTTACAGTATTATTGTATTCATGATGAATGTTTGTAACGTCCTGATATATTCCCACACTGTGTTTTACCTGTTTAATTAATTGCCACCTTCTAGTCGCTGGAGCTAAACCCACAAGAGCTCTGCCCTTAGACCCCACCATTGCGTCCAAGATCCCCTGCTCCCATAGAACCCCATTCTTTTAAGGCATCTTGAAAAAGGGTCTGTTCATAATATTAGAATATATGCAGAATTTGAACACATTAAGGCACAACACAAAATTTGACAGGCATTTTGCTGTTTATTTATGTTTTATAAATAGATTAAGTTGCTATATTTACAGCATTTCTGTAGCTTTTTCAAGCCGAGGACTAAAAAAATGTTTTAATGACCACCAGCTGTGAGCTCAGTGTTTTTCAATTCATGGAAAGCACAAAAATGTGTATTATTCTATAACTAGATTTGTAGGTGAAACACTTTTTATACCTTATTTAACAAACCTGCCTCCTGCTAATGATCAAAATAAGAAAATGAAAATTCTGTAGCCCGCTGCTACCTTGAACGATCTAAAACAAACAAACCTGTATGTATATTTCTTCCTAAATATATAAACATCCATTACTATACTGTTGACATTCACCAATAAAAATTATATTCTTTGGCGAAACAAAGTATAAAAAGTCTCATCTACTAATCATAATTTGTTTTTTTTTTATTCATTAAACAAGAGACTGCTATGTTACCCAAATTACTTGATTAAATTCCCACAAACATACTTCACAATATGCACCTAGCTATTAACACATTACTAACCACTCCTACCCCAGAGTGGAGAGACACCGCTCAAGACACAATACAAGCAACAGACAGTATGGGATTCAAAAATGGCGGGCCAATCCAGGAATAACAAGATTTATATTATCAATTACCGGTATATACTGTACTAATTAGCAATACACACACAGTAATAATAATACAGTAGAAAGTTTACAATAGAAAACAGATAAAAACAAATATAATACAATACACTACTGACACTTGCTAAGTAGATTAGATATACTGTACTGTAATTTGCAGACCGTATCATGCAATCATAACAATTAATACTAACACAAATCAGGCATTTTTTCATCAGCTTTTGTCCAAGCTGCAACTAGAAGAAATTGGTTCGTCTAGGAAAAATACACACTAGCAGGTAATCTTTAGCCTGCTGCTGGACACATGTTAGAGAGTGTTGGTAGTCTTTCATTTCTCTTTCAGCGAATTAATTTTACTGATAATCTTAAGAGCAGGACCTAACTTCATACTCATAGCAGTCATCAGATGGTCCTCTTTTAGAAGCATCAATGCTTGTCCATCGATCTCCTGTGCCAAGAACTCATTAGCGTAGTCTTTACATCCTGGGACAGTGTTGATGAATCGAGACACATGCTGAGGGCTCCATTGAGACGGTTGGCTAGGTAGCGGAGGTGGTTCGTCATTATCATCTTTATCTGAATCTGCTGGGGGTTCCAACTCACTCATTGGTGAGACATCTCTGTGTGTGGTGGAGGTTGTGTCTTCTGAAGGTGTGCAAGAACTCATAGCACCTTCAGACAATGTAGCAGAGTTAGAACTTTCATCAAGGAACATAGGTTCTTCAGTCTTCTCCATCTCCTCTACTTCTTCTTCCTCTTCTTCCTCCTCATCATCGCAGTCCTGTGGAGGTTTATGCTGTTGCTCCACCTGTGAAGAGCAATACAAATGATTCACTGGTAAAAGTTATAGTACAAACTTTGTGTAATTGATGTCCCAATAATGTTTTCAGTCTGTATCTTCTTCATCCATCTACAGCACCTGCATTTCCAATGATGAACAAGGAGCCTTGACACTTTTCTTTAGGTTTTCATGTTTTTACTGTCTGTTGGTGTACAGCATATTGATGTGAGACACTTTGTAAATTGTATGGTATAAGTGAAATAACAGAAATGTAAGATGCACAAACTCAACCTACCTCTTTCTCCTTTGATAAGCGCTGGGTGTTGAATGCCAGACGGCCATGCTTTACCCGCACTCCCTTCAAGGGTGCTGCTCTCTTCTGCATTTTCATGTTGTGTTTCAGTCGTTCAACGTTGAGTCGTTTTGGTTTGAAGAGGCCTAGACGTTTACTACAGCCCACATTATACCGCTTAGCACAAGCCATGGAGCAAAATCTTTTCGATCGTTTAAATTTATTGGGTGTGTCCATTTTGCCACAAAACTCGCATTTCAGTAATTCATCATCTTTTTTCTCTGAAAATGTCAAAGTAAACACTTAAAAATAATTATGAAATTAAATTTCACAACACAGAAACCACTGTTTAATGGGAAGGTATAAATCAGGATTTGAATATCTAAAACAACAACATAGAGCAGTCTTAGGGCGAGAAAGTGTAGGGGGCCCCTTGAATGTCAGTAAAGTTAGTGAACAGGGTGCATTATCTCCCTAGAGATAATTGTTAAGGCTGAAAAGACTATTTAATTATTAGACAATTTCTAATAATATTTAATTATCAACTAATATTTTGCACAGGCATTTAATTGGAATATTTGTGTGTAACATATAGATTAGGTCTATTAATAATTCATCATTTGCATATGTGCATTCATTAGTGTGCATAGGTTACATGCTTAATCATGAGTGTATTGATCTAAGTTCCAATGCAGCTTTGCCAATATAAATAAGCATTATCAAACAAGCAATCAATCAATCGTTAACAGAGGCTGATCCTGGTAGCACAGGGCTAGCCCCGACCCACCTCTAAAAATAGAGAAAAAAAAGTAAAGAAAGTCCAGAGAGAGGGGAGTATGTTGCTGTAGACCCACTCCAAAACAAGCTAATTTTTTATTTAAATTCTATCAGTCCTATGGTGTGCTCTCATGCATTTCTAAACAAAAATCTCAAATAAATATTAATATACAAACGGTTAGGTAACCAAATTGATTGATTGATTGTTTTAATAAAGTGTCACTTTGATACTACAAACTATTTTGCTCTAAAACATGATACATGTAAGGCCATGAATAAAATGACTGTCGATCTTTATGGTCCAATCGATGGTGTTGTAGGCCTTTATCATCCAAATATCCGAATTATTAGTAGGCCTACATACATTGATTTAATCGATTTTAACAAGTTATAGATAATGTGTTTACATGTACAGTAAAACTTGAAGTCAATCTTATTTTACATGGCAAATTGTTATGTTTTTCATTAATTAACGATCTGCAAGTCAAATTTTATTTAAGTTGAACAATTTTTCAATGCCATTTTGTATTTGATTCAACTCTATTTAATAATAAGCCTACTATGATTGGTAATCAGGTATTTAATTCTAGGGTAGGTGGAGATGCAGATGGCTAGGGTTTATATACTGTTTGAGAAGATTTTTGGACAATTTTTTTATGTCGGGCATGTAAGGGCCAACTCAGACAGCGTCGTAAGACGCAGCCCGACGGGATTTGTTGTCGCGTCGGGTCTGTGTGAACGCAGACGTGATGGTGTGCGTCGGGGGCGGTCGCGTCGTGGAATACTAAACATGTTTAATATTTCTCATGACGGCTTAAGACTGTCCCCGACGAAAAATCGGGTTGGGCTGCGTCGGCCGACGCTGTCTGAGTTGGCCTTAAGACAACCCCTATGTTTCATGGTCAGCATGTTCACAATTCCTACTTTTTTTTTACTGTATATGGTCCTGATACTGCATCTAGCTGGCTGGCTAAAACGGAGCCAAATATAAGGCTAATACAATTCTATGATTTTTTTAATGTTTATCAAAATCATGATTTTAAAAATCTAAAATTTGTATGTAGGGCGTACAAGACAACCCCCTGCTTTTCGATCGTAATTTGGTATTTTAAGCCTTGTCTTATACGCGAGTATATACAGTACATTTTTGAAAATCAAGAAAATGTACCGTATTGTCAAAAAATGTTTGTTGTATTGTGCCGGGTAAGAGCAAGAGGGGGCCCATGGCCTCTCCGAAGCTAATTTGGAATTGGAACTGGGACTTTATTTTTTTTCAATTATAGAAAAAGTTACTATTATATTGCCATGGCGTTGTAGTAGAGAGGGGCCTTCCTGGGGCCGATTAGGACTGGGATCTAGAAAGCACATCCGTTACATCACTGTTAAAGATGTATTGTCCCATGCTAAATACCAAAAAAATCATAAAAATATTTTTTGAAATTAACTTGCCAATTTTGAAGTAACATAAAAGTTATCAACTTGAACATAGCAATTAGTGTATTTAAAAAATGTCTACCCATCAGTTTACAGCGAAAAATGATAGAAACACTTCCAGTCACTGGAAGTATTGACACCAAGGAGCTCACAGACATTAAGCCACTGGATAGGAAGGTGGTATACTTTGTAATCTCCCACTGGACTCGCCATGATGTACACTAAAATAACCTTACTGCTTAGCTGCAGCTTTGTTAACATCATAGTCATTCGACCAAATCTACAAAGCCCTTAACAACCAGCATCCCTATTCTGACACACTGGTACAATTTTCTGATCAGTTTGGCGGGCTTTCTGATCCAAAAATTTGGATTTAACCTTCAGTAGGAAATAAGCTTGTGACTGCCCCCTCACCTTCTATCAGAACACATCCATTGTTGCTTGTTTTACAGCTTTCTTCAACTACATTATCCTCTACAATAGCAGATCTTGAAATCTGAGATAAAAAAGTCAAATGGTGTTTTTTTTTTATTTTAAAAATCTGAGCAACTTCTCCATATTTTCTCTGTACTCCTTCGGCTTTATAAGGGGGTCTATTTTCATAATTTGGAATGTAAATGGTAATAAACATATATCAAAAAATACAAATCTACATCATTATCATTCCACTATCATCTGATTGCTACCACATGCACCACTACCATAATTAACATCAGAAATGTAGTTATGGTGGGCCAAGCCCACCATAATTTTATGGCCCTTAGTTACCCACCCTTAGTTTTCTACAACCTGTTAACATCATCATCGCCATCACTATTATTACTTACTGGAAATGGTTCTGAAGCCTCCTCTATAATGAAACCATCAATGACATGAGTAAGTACTTGTGGTTTGACAATAGCATGTGGCAAGTCTTTCATCCTCTCCTTGACTTGAAGTATGACAGTGGAAGTAGATGGCTTCGTACAAGGTGTAACGTTGACTGGAATCTGTTGTGATGAATTCACTCCATTGCCTGTCACCTTGGATGGTGGGCCTGATGAACGGATCACCATGAATGGGTCTGAACTTGGTGTAATACCTACTGATCTAGGGGTTAAATACCCAACAGGCTTAAGGATATGTGCTGGACGTATCTGAGTTGCCTGCCCTTGTGGGATTGTAGACTTCACAAGTCGAATATTTGAGTGCTTGGGATTGCTGGCTGTTGATGACATATGATATGCTGCATGTGATGAAGGAGGACTCTGAATTGGTACAGCGACAGAAACTGTGTTTGGTAGTGACCCTCTGATAACAGCATTGGATGGAAGTGGATTAACAGAATTTGATGCCAGCATGACATGTCGTTGGTAGGAAGTGATAGCTGCAGGGCGTGGTGTTCTTCCTTGAGGGCAGCGGATGATGGTTGTTGTTCGTATACGTGGAGAGTTCATAGCCATCACCTGATGTCTGGCTCCATGAGGAATAGCTATCGGTGGTTTAGTGATCATTGACGATGTTTGAACCGGATTACGAATAATTTGTGCACCTTTGAATACACGAAGATCGCTTGGTTGTAAAGGCCTGACTTGAATGGGTCGGCCAGGTTTTGATGACATGTGACCAACTGGAGCTCCTGCTGCTGTTACTGAAGTTGCTCTGATAAACATTGGTGTTCGTGTTGTTGGAATGTTTGGTTGCTGTCGAGGAGACGGTGTATTGACAATGAGTGTCTGTCTGCTGATGCCAGTGGGCTTTTGATTTTGAAGTGCTGGATGAGATTTGTGTTTGTTTGATTCAGATAGCTTCATGTCTTGTGGTCCACTGTTTGTTGTTGATGATGTGGGTTGGTCATTCGAAACACTGCTTCCTGGACCTGAAATCATTCAAAGTGAAGGTAGAGTATTTCAAAATAAGTGTAATTAACATTACAGTGTAATCAAAACTATGTACTTTAAAATGTGTAACACAAGAGAAAGTGAGCTTTACAATATTCTGTTCACTTTCAACTGTTCACACTACTATTGTTTTCTGAAACAAATACCTGTAATGTTGCCTATTTGGGTATAATGATGTCATATCATACCCATAAATTACATTTATTTGTCACATAAAACTTGATAGAGTGAAAAGTTCTTACAGAATTCAAAAAATTAATATTATAAATAATAAGTCATTTCCGCAGTGGCAGATCGAAGGGTGGGGGAAGAGAGGGACAGATGGAGGGTCTAGACCACATCAGCCCCACTATGGTTGGTGCTGGTAAGAAAATTTATGATTATAGCACCTCAAGATAGCCGGAAATAGCCCTCTCAGAATTTAAATATAATTTTTTTTTTTTACCCAATTTTTTTCATAATTTTGAAATATTTAGGGGCAAGGGACAGCTTCCCCCTCCCTTGAATCTGCCACTGATCTGGTTAATGAGCTTTCTTAACACATAATTTAATTAAATTTTGCTGCACAGAGATACCCATTGGCTCTGACTTTCGTGAGAAAATTGATAATAAAGCAGTGAAAACATGCAAAATTATGAATTTGCAGATATGGGTTAATTTCCGGAAAGATTCTTGCAGGAGTGCGGGATTCTGTCCCGATTTCCGGAAGACTTGGGACCACTGCAGTAGATTTTATTACCTTCAGATCCTACACCATCCTTCCCAGATTTCTATGAAAGAAAACAAAGGAAGGCTGTTAAAAATGAACTATTTATTGTTAAACAATTTACTCATCATAAATAAAAGTATACAGTCCTATGCATAGTTTACACTGCATTTATTTAGTCTGTTGGCTAATATTATCAGGCCAGCCTACATGTGGTAGGAACAATATCCATGCATGGTCATAATTGATAATGCTAGGTCTAGGCCTAGGCCGCACATTATAATAATACTGCATTGTACTGCCTACAGCAGCCTAGGCCTAGACCACCTCTTGGCTTCACTCCAATTCACTAAACCTCGACAGCCCCGGCCGAGGGTTGCCGTCAACCCTGCTAGACCGTGCCTCCTACTAGGCCTAGTGGCCTAGTACTATATTTATGCCTGGCTAGGCTAGTGTAGCAGTCTAGTAGTAGCTGCTACAGACAGGTCATAATTTAATAAGAAAAACACTACAACTGACCTTATCATTATGAAGTCCAAGGCTGCTGCGCCATGCATTAACATCCATTTCAAACTTCTGAGCACCAATTTAGTATTTTTGTGGCAATAAAAGCAAAATAATAAACATTAAATGTTGTTGTTTTCGTAGCAGACGAGTGGATCTGTTGTTCGGCGTCTGCTTTTGATTACCCAAAGCGCCCTCAATTGTACTTCGTTTTAGAAACTTGGGAGCGGATCTTTAGAAAACTTTAATGTTGCGAAGTCGAGGTGTAACCCAGCCAGCGTACTCAGCCAACGGGTTTAAGCACACTTTTTGAAGTCTGTTTATAATTTTTATGTATTTATTCATTTAAAGTCTCAAAATAGGAAATCCAAAAAAAAAATATACTGTACAGTACATTAAAATGTAGAAAATAATATGATGAACACGATCTCACAAGTGCTTGTGTCCTTGTGTTGAGAAATACGGTAACCGAGATCCACTGCACCTATCTAGCGTTTTTTACATCACCTCTTTGTAGTTATTAATTAAGCATTATCACTAATGACACGTAAGCAAGTCAATGAACTTTTAAATTAATTTGGACGAAATTGATGAAACCCAATTTGATATGGGCCCTAATAAAGTTTTTTCAGATAACAAATTACAATTAGTGTTATCTTGTTTACTTCTGCGGAACCAACACATGCGAAGGGTAGAACATTTCGACATGCCATCTGTTTGAATTCTCTCATAGAGTAAGCCCAATGCCAGCCATGGTTGAAATGTGATATGTTGAAATTCCTTAATTTACTACCGCTACAAGTTACTGCAAAACCTTTCAAGAGATCACATATACCTATATGACTTAATGTTGTTTAGTAAACCAATAAAATGATGCAACCATTTAATATGCTTTAGTTTAGGCTTATAACATCCAATATTTGAAGGAAAGCTTACGTCAGTTGATAACAGACACATTTGTTCTGTGTGTCTCGATTGGTGAATATTGTACTAGAGATTAGAAATATATCGGCCAATTGGCTTACATGAGAATGTAACATATGATGATATTAATAATTAATATTAATATTAAGTGAATGTTTAATTAAGATAGAAAATCTACAACATTTGGTAATATCTCGGCGCAATTCGGGCATTGCCCTTTCATTTTCGTCAGTCTAGACACAAGTCATTATCAATCGCGAACACCGACCTCATCATCCCGATGTTGATTCATTTATAAAGCTGTTAACAGTGTAAAGTACTAAAATAAAAGTAAATATTTGTATTGCTTAGTTTTTGTAAAGTAGGATATTATTATGTTTTAATTGAAAATATTTTTCCCTCTATGTGCTCATTATGTGCAAAGAAACAAATTTAATCTTCATTTATGTGGTCAAGATATAATATGATATATTATAAACTATTGTAATTTAAACTGAACTATAATGGCGTTGTTGCGATTTTTTTGTAAATGAGATGTATTTAAATAATATATTTTTTTTCAAAACTATTATGGGTTGTACATTGTTTCCCTTTTTACTATATGAATAACAACAATTACAGTTTATTTACAATATCCATGATACTTGGGGTTACTTTTTATAATAACTTGTTAAAAAAATTAAATGTTATTAAAATTGATGTTTTGACGTCCGCCTCTGTAATAAGTAAGTTTCAAGGGAACAAAGACTTTAATTCATTATAAATGATTAATGTTTCATCTACCTCCTTATCAAAATTAGAGGCATTGTAATAACAGCATGTGCGATAGGCCTACGTGACAAGTATATGTTCACTATCCGAAGCATAGATTAGACTTGAGATTTGAAAAACACGAACATACGGTTAATCACACTACATTGGGTATATAAAGGGAGGTAAAAACACTTTAATAGCATAATGACACCCTTCAAGATGAAGACGGAAGTGTGTCTGTGGGTCCTATGGCTCTACTGTCTCTGCTACACCTCAGGTAGGCATTGCTTTATAATGACACAGATACAACCTTAACGTGTGTAAATGGTAGTACTGCACTGCATTTTTTAAATATTATGCCATAGCTTCATGTAGCTTTTAGGATGTCTTCTATTTTCTCAATTGTTTTAATTGGTCTGTATTTTATCATTGTGCATTGTCAAATAAATTCAATCAATCAAACAATAAAATCATTGTGAGAAAAGTCTGACTGCAGACTGCCAGTGTAGTTGCCTAAGCCAACGAACTTGCTCTACGATATCTCGGCGTATCTTTTTCATACTATTGTGTTTATTTTATCCATTCAGAATGTTTTCTCTAACTTAGACTTTTGCATTTCTTTGGAAAAAGTTTCCTCTATTCCCCTTTGCAAATTAAAATTATTATTATGACCCATGTGTATTCCAATAACCTTGCAAATGCGTTACGTCTTTAATCTAGTTTGAAATTAACGCTGTGTTATATATTTCAGACATTATCATTATTATAAGTGGCTAAGTATATTTAGATAGACAAGTCGACCAGCACTCACATTAATCAGGTAGACATCAACATCTACAATGAAACTTCACAAGAAGTGAATCAAATAAATCGTACATATTGCACATATCCCAACAAGGCCTCACGATATTACCTCAGTCATTGGATTAAATAATTAGAACACACTCGGATTCACAGGGAAGATATAATAATTATGCAGCTAGACAGTAATCAGTGCATTTGGTGTCGAACCTACCAGGTACCCACTTATCTCCAGGGTGGGCAGAGAACCGGGGTAGATGAAGTGCCTCACCCAAGTTCGAGAGCCCGAATCGCAACTGCTAAACCAATCGCTCCCCAACAAATAGTGTCCAGTTCACTCGA